CCTGGCTGCGTGCCCGCGAAAGGGCCCGCTGCGGACGGCCGCTGCCCGACGCGTGCCGCGGGGAGCCCCGGTGCCAGCATCCCCGCAGGCGGCACAGCCTGCGCTGACACCCAGCAATCATCCTGACAGCCTGGCAAGAACCGGCGCCGCAGCAGCTGGCACATCTGGTGGTACTGATGCACACCGCGGCTTCCTCTTCAACCCTAATTTAATGGGGTTCACGGTTTTCAATGTGTGGGTGACAAATACCAGGACCCAAAGCGCGCTACTGCAGCCCTGGGAGGATCTGGCACACGAAGATCAACACCGTGGCTGGCTCTGCAGTCACAGGCTTGCTCTGCTCTGCCTTTCATTCGCCATCCAGGCCCGTCCAGCCCGGGCTTAGCAAGACACCCGTGTGTGTGCCGAACCTTCAGGCGTTGTCCTTGCTGGCCCCCCTTGCCGAGTTAGGGCTTTGATCTGTATTTGCTTGCTACCCAGCAGACTGTCAGTCCTTTTAATACCACGGCCTCAGCTCATTTGGCATCTCGCCACATTAATTGGAAGCTAATTAGTTTCCAGCAAGCTCACTGAGGTGTTGAACTTCTGTACTGTCACCAGCTTGAAGGAACGCGATGTCAATTCTTTGCCTTTTTACATTTGCTGTTGTACAGAACCTGTGGGTTTAATACGCGCAACAGCCTTTTCATTAAGATGCAAAAAGGTGTTCTAAAAATTTTATTTCTATAGTATATGCTACCACATCAGGGATGTGTTTACTAATAATTTACTAAAAGTGCTTTCAGAAAGGTGGAATATAATTTAAAGTGAACAGTTAATGAGAATGTGGAATTAGAATTTGTTATGTGCGGTGTGTGGGTAGTTCAATAGTACACAGTTTAATACACATTTTTGAATTTTCTGTTCATTAAGATTTCCCTCTTTTCTCTGCTAAGCCCGTTTTTGTATTTCACACCCTGAAATAAAGGGCAGAAATAAGGAAATACCCTCATTGGCTTAAAGATCTTGACCCCTGTTCGATCTTTCCCCCCGTTTATCAGATGAATCAGGAAAAAAAAAAAGGAAACAATGAAACAGATGTGCAGAAATCTTTTAAATATGCACAAGATGAAGCTACTGAACTGCACTTGTATTTTGAATACTCTCCCTATGCAACAAAAAAAATGAAGGTAGACATTTTTAGTTAATTATCTTTGACTTAGACGTTCTGCCTAGCATGTCTGTCAAATGACCCTTCGTTGTTCAGAAGTGACCACACCGATTTTATTAAAAGTACAGACCGAGCAGTGCTACAGGAAAGGCCGCCTCAAATGGTAAATGCCCAGATACAGCAGACTTCCACGTTAACTGCTCAGATCTTCAGACACGGTGAGATGCCGCAGGAACGCGTATTTTAAGATATTCACCAGTGTTAGTATTACGGCAGCTCGCTGGCTTTCACGGGCCTCATCGCTGTTCGCTCTGTCCTTGCCATTTGTCTCTGGTGCATCCACAAGTAACGCCATGCCATCAGGACAGCTGCCTTCTACTGCCAGCTGAATGCCGTCTTCCTCTTCATCCACAACGTCATCAGAGGCTTCCGCCAGCATTTCTAACCTGTATCGACAGACGTAGCCCAGGCTTATTCTCAGACTGAAAAAGCCCACCAGAGGGAGATAGCAGAAGGCCCAGGCCTTCACCTATGTGCAGTGTATGCATCCTCCTGACAGGAAAAACAAGAGTATCACCCAAATGCTTCCGTTAAGCTCCCATGAAGGCAAATTTCATTATATGCTCCAATAAAACCCAGCAAGCTCTTCTACAGTTCACCTTCAAGATCATTATGACAACACTGAACTACATTCAAAAGCTGTATGTTGGTAACGCTGAAGGATGTTGGTTGCAATGAATTAATAAAACAAATGAGCGAGTCTCCCCTTTCCCCACAATACAGCATGTATTTATTTCTATGCTGCAGCTGAGAAATTGCACAGGAACAGAACTCAACAGACCAATTTAGCAAGAAATCTGTTTCTTGGGAAAGTTCACAACTTCTTCAAAAAAAAAAAAAAGACCATCAATGGAAGCACACACACACTGGCTTTGTCAGACAGCAGCTCTCTTTTCAAATCCTATTAGTTTCTTATTATAGTTAACACAACTAAGATTTGATACGAGACATTCTAGTACTCCTCCAGTGGCTTAGACTCCCCAGGTGGTTTCACAGGAAGATGCACATGGAATGGAGGAGCCTCAGGAGCAGGAGTTAACAGAGCAGCCAAGACACTGTGAACCTACAAGAAGGTGAATGAATTGACCACGCAAGAGAATGAGACTTTACCCCAGTTCCAGCGGCGGTGAGGCGCTGGCACAGGTTGCCCAGAGAAGCTGTGGCTGCCCCTCCCTGGCAGTGTTCAAAGCCCAGATGGGACTTTGAGCAACCTGGTCTGGTGGAAGGTGTCCCTGCCCATGCCACGGCAGAGGGGCTGGACTACATAATCTTTAATGGTCCCTTCCAACCCAAACCACTCTATGGTCTTCTCCAAAAGTGCAGTCCTTTCAATTTGTCTAAGAATAGAAGGAACAAGCAGAATCATTCAGGCATGAACAGAGAGGGAGGACAAGTGGCTTTACCAGTCTTCCTCAGAGCCCCTTTGCTCCTGTTCCTCCTCCTCGTCATCTTCAGCCAGCTCTTGTTCTACTGCTTCCAGCTCAGCAGATGTCCTCTCCAGCAGCGCTGACACAGCATCCTGCTCACAAGGAAAGAGAATCATAGAATCATAGAATCATAGAAAGTTTTGGGTTGGAAGGGACCCCTAGAGGTCATCTAGTCCAACCCCCCCGCAGCGAGCAGGGACACCACTAACTAGATCAGGTTGCTCAGAGCCCTGTCCAACCTGGTCTTGAATGTTTCCAGGGATGGGGCCTCCACTACCTCTCTGGGCAACCCGTTCCAGTGTTTCACAACCCTCATTGTAAAGAATTTCTTCCTTATATCTAGCCTAAACCTACCCTATTTTAGTTTAAAACCATTACCCCTCGTCCCGTCACTGCTGTCTCTACTAAAAAGAGAAGATGAAACCAGAATCAAGTGATACATAACACAGGTAAAAAAAAGACAACTCTTGCAAGAGCTGCATTACCCTGCTGCTCCCTGATGCCGGCAAAAACATGACTCCGCTCACAAGTATAAGGAGTTTGATGGTTGTTTTTACACAGAGTAAATCTCAATCGACAATAGATTATTTGTAGAGCAAGAATGCAATCAAATATGTTCCTGTCATCCTTTAATGTCTCATCTTTCTTTCCCTCTCATACTTGTAATATCCGTAGGTAAAAAAAGGTTGTTCTTAAAAGTTACGTTTTTTACTGTAGTTCTCTGAAGGAGGTGTTAAAGCAGAAAAGCTTATTTAACCGGAAGAATTAGTATGTGTTTTGCATTAACAGCATTTTCAGTGCAATGGCTTTAAGTATGCGAATTCAGATAGTAAATAGCATTTTTTAACGCATATGAAAATCAATGGTAAACTCAAGGAAGCTCTTCAGTAATATTAATTTTAAAATGAAACACAGCGGAAAATTTGAAAATTTCAAATTGGAGTGCAATTTTGTATCCCACTAAGAAGCGTCAGCCCTACCCACACTTGCTAACAAGTCTGAAACCCCATGTAGGACCCACTCACACACAAAGTCACTTTATGAGAAAGTGCCTGCAAGACAACAGGGCCTCAGACCTTCAGGGGAGGACAATTCACATACTGAAGTAACCACAGTGCAACGGCACAATTAGAGTCTATGGCTTTTTTCCTGCTGTTACAGTAACAGGCAGCACATTGCTCACCAAGTCCAGTGAGTCTGGTGACTGCTTGCTTAACAGAAACATGGATTCTTCATTTTGGTCCTTCGTTTTTTTGCCGGGAATTTGCTTGCGAGGCAACAGGTTGTACCACAGAGTACAAGTCTCGTCAGAAAACAATAAATCTGCCAGACTGATCTGAGTCCCAGCCTGCACAAAATAAGGGGAAGAAGAAAATCGTTAAAATTTGGTTGTTTTTTTTTTTCCCCTGCACGACAGCTGAAAATAATGTCTACAGTATTTATCATGTAAAATAGGCAGCACAAATTTGACATGAATCTTAATTCCCTTGTAACTGTACAATTGTTTATTTCCCTCCACTTCTAGTTAAAATAAACACGGAAAAGTCCTTCATATTGTCCATCCTGCCATCTTTCAGTCCAGCCCGCAGAATTTCTCCCCGCGTGCACACACACGCAAACCCCTCCGCATCACTGTAAGCGCACGTCTGCTTTCTACAGCATTCAATAACGAAGAACTGTCAATGAAGCCTGCCGCGCCAACTCACGGAGCAGCAAGTTCCAGTCAATTTTTCACTTGTTCCACCACAAAAATCATCAATATTGCAAACAATAATGGATGACCTTGTTTGCTCTAACCAGCGAAGAAGCAGATGAAAAGCCAGTAAAAGAGATTAAGAAACCCCTTCACTTGGACAAGCGCTGCCATACACTGAGGCGGCACTCCGGGAAAACCTCGGAAGTGCTTGTGTTCGGGCTGTGCCTCGGAGGTTAAAACCCTCTGCTCCTGGGCAAAGCAAACCCTCTTCAGAGCCAGTGCGTGGCACACACAGCTCTTGCCTGTCGTGTGGCCCAGGGCTTTCTGCTGGGGGTGGTGCTCCCAACCCCTTCTTTGGATCTTGTGATTAACCCTGATGTCTTTGGTGTGGTTTTGCTGCTGTTGGGCTTTCTTCTTCATCTTTGCATCCTGCATTCTGTTCCATTTTCGTTTTGCTGCCTTTCCCTCACCTGAGGGGAAACCTCTTGCATACCGAAAAAGTCCAACACGTTCCCCAGGAATTCAGTCAACTTTCATGTTTTTGAAAGCGAGAGGCTGTTCCCAGCAGTCGGGGCTGACGAACCCCACCAGACTCCAGTGTCTCTTCAGCGTGCTGTAACTGAAAATCTCACTGTGCTACTAAGTCAGAATTATGGTGAAAAACCAAACTGAATTCTACCAGACCGTGCAAAACCAATCTGAAAATAAATGAAGCATCAGTAATTAGGTGATGACCACAATTAACCACAAAATTTAAAAAGTGACAGTTTCTAATAGGCTGGTCTATGAATGTCATGCCTTTTTATTATTTCTACAGATCACAAACATTAAAAAGGTGGACATCATAATCTACAATAATGTGCAAAAATGTAATTTAGTTTGCTCTTTGTGACAAATTGGGATAATGAGGGTTTGCTTTTTTTGGGGGGGACATACGGTGGCTCTCATTCAGCTTTAAAATCTAGTGTTATAGTAATGTTGCAATGAAGTCTATGGGGTTTTTAAATATATAAAACTGCAAAGATGAAATATTAATCTGGAATTAAAGGGTTAAGGTAATGCAGTGTCAGAATTACCAAAACACCTCCTAAAACATCCATCCAGGATTAGATTCTGTATCAGGAATTTCAGAGAAAGGTAGTATTTTAAGTACTACAGCAACAACCAAGTTACACCTCAGTTTGTCTCCAAGTATCGTGGCATTTTAGCAGTCTTGCCCATCAAAATAAGAGGGGACACTTTAAACAAATGCATGCCAAAAAAAGCCAGAAATAAAACTGCATACCAAGCATTCTTCCCGACGACTTCTACTGACAGCACAGACATCTACTCTCAGTGTCTTCTGTAGTAGCGTGACTTGGGGAATGGCTACTCTGAATATCTCGTTGAATAAAATGGTTTCCATGGCAGGATGAACTTTTGTGCGGAACAGACAGCTGATATCAGTTGAGGATGGAAGCATGGCTACTCTAACATACCTGCCGGAAACAAAACAAGATCTTTACCTGTACTTAAACTAGCACTTGCTGGTGACGCATCATAGAAGTTGACCTCATTGACTAAAGGACTGCATAGCAAGAAAAACGAAACAGCAACACATCAGAGGTGGAATGGAAAAGAGGTGAGAAAGAGGAGTAAGAAAGTCCTCCTGCCCCTTGCACAAACATTTCCCAAAAAGGAGTTTCCATGCCTGGTTAGGCAGCAGCAAGAGAGGCAGCTATTTCTGTCTCCATCCAAATTTGTCCTCCGGTTTAGTTCTGTGAACACTGAGGATCATGTCGCAGATGGGAGGAAGCATGATCTTAATGTTCATTGAAAAAATGAGAAAAATTTGGGTGGTTGTAAAAATTAAACTCTTAGAACGATGGGAGCAGCACTGAAAGGGCAGTGACATCTTCAGATCTTTTAAAGAAACAAAACCAAACCTCCAAAGAAACCAGAAAACTAAGGAAAATGAGGAAGACTAGCTAGGCCCACAGCTGCTTAAGATCAATTTGCAATATGTCAAGTGGGACTTAGAAGAATGCACCTTGCAAGCCTAAACGTAAGCACAGGGAATAACGTGAAATTGTTACACAGCTGCATTCTTTTTATAGAACAAATATCAACGCATATTATGTGGATAAAGGTAATACTTGCTAACTTGCAGGTCTCGCTTTAGCGGTAGCTTGACTGAGTAAAGACATTCCTCGTGCAATTTGTACGTGCTGCTAACCTAGTGCACAGCCTCTCGCAGACGCGAACGAGCACAGCAATTGTTTTACATCTTTTCTGTGTCTACGCATTAGCCGACTTCTGGTATTGGCTTTAAATATAATTGACATTCACTGTAGAACAGGACGCGGCAAAGCTCGCTAACGCAAGAAGAAAAAGTGGGCCAAAAAAAAAGATTCTGGAAAAAACTTGTTCTCCCAAAATTTATAGTACTGTTTCTGTATTTTCTGTTAATGACTTGGTACATACCGTTATTATTATTAAACACTTAGTTTTACATTAATCAAACCAAAAGAAATTAGGTGAGAAATCTGATTCTGTTATTTGAATTTGTGCCTAGCCTTTACTGCCCAATTAAGCCAGGCTTCTTGGGATGAAGAGTCAGGTCTAAGGTGTTTGGTTCGCCTGCATAGCCTGGAGAGCAGGTATCCAGCATTTTGACAAACGCATCCCAAAGCCAAGTGGCAGTGTGATGTAATTCCAGTAATGCCGCTGCTGTATTCACATAAATGTAGGTGAGTCATTTGCATGGTCTATTGAAAACAGCCATTCTAGTAGATAAAGCAATTAGAAAAGAGGAATAGAAGATAAAGTATACTAAAAGTATGTTTAAAAGGTGGCTCATTGGAGCTTTCTTTTAATAATTGTTAGTCAACTTACTTGCATCAGGCCAGAACGAGGGATAAACAAAGAAGTAAACGATAAATTGCTCACTGGCTTTGTTTTACAAGAGTGCTTCCCTTCATTTTCATTCAAAAAGTTAAAAAGTCATCCAGTGCCTCAGATTTTGTGGTGACAAACCTATGACTTCTCAACTGATGAAAAAATGATCCTCACACAGACAGGTAGTCAGCTAGGCTCTACCTGCTCTAAAAGTGAACAGCTTTTACAAACGGCGTGGAAACAGGTATCAGTAAGACCTGATGTCAAATCTATTCGTCTGTGTGCAAAGGTTCAATAAAGTACTAATCTATCCAATCTGACGTTCCAGAAAATCCAGTTTTAACACAGAACCATTTTCCAGACCCAATTTTTATCATTGTGCGTATCCGTACAGTGTATGCACACAACAGCAAGTGACAGAAAAAATGCTGTTTGTGAGGTCCGTCCTTTACCTGGTCCTTTCTTCCTCCTTGCTTTGGGTAGCTTTAGTTTTAGTGTATCTTTCCAGCAGCAGCAGGTCTGGACTTCTGCAGTGAAGGCTCCTGACTGATTACAACTTCATACTTTAATTCCTAAAATGATGCTGGCTATGACCTAACTTCATCGCACTGAACATTTTGTTGACATTCTTTTTATATTCGACATTATGTGCTTTTCCTCTCCGCTGTGTCCATCTGTCCTACAGTTTTTCTATATTCTTGTGCTAAATGCTAGTGGCTTTGGAAGGTCAGCAGAGGAAAGATGAAGGTCAGAGAAGGAAGGATGGTAGCAGAGAACCGTTTGTTATTAAAACTGAACAAAAACAAACAGAAAAATCCAACAAGCACCCAGGCCTTTCCATATTCATCCTTTCCATAACATCCTTTCCATACTCAGCGGTTTCCTATTGATCTGCCAATCAAATTCAAGGTGATGGGGGACAGGGGAAAGGGAACAGCAAGAAAATAAAATTTTCCAATGATTGATTATGTTCTACTTCAATCCTATTAAGCTTCTCAACAGTTTCAGATAACTTTCCAGTCTGTAAAAAAGCTCACTGAAGTACAAATGCCCCCAAGGAGCCAAGGCAAGCTGTACTTCTTTGTACAGATGAGAGCTGTGGATTAAAATCTCAGTGGTTATATTTTCTTATTTAGGCATTTTTGTTCATTTCCTACATACGATCTCCACTGTAATGACTTTTAGACCCTTCCCATTGTTCCAGTTCAACACAAGACCTAATTCTTAACAGACCTCCAGGCTCCAGTTGTTAGAGATGGTGTAGCTCAATGCGGCTGCGCTCGTCCACTTCCCATTCATCAAATTACCCCTTACCTTTAAAAGCTCACTTAAAAGACACACACTAACATCACTTCACATCAAAAGGCCACATAAATGTAAAAAGACAACATTCTGTGCTGAAAGAATGGCAAAGTATCGAAAGAAAGTTTTTAGTAACTACAGAATAGCTGTTCTGCACTTGCAAAGGTACAGAAATGTTTAAAAACAGTAAATGAAGCATCATTTGAAAAAATCCTTTTTGTTCCACTTTCGCGGAACATGCAAATTTCTTGTTGACCCTCTTTTTCTTGCAGCACTGCTCGAATATGTGAAAGCTAAGTACTACTACAGTTTGAAAAGTTTGATACACATTTTAGTGCTGTTAAGCAGTAAATCAATCCATTCCTTTGGAGAATTTGTACAGTTTATTATTATACTCTCACATTTCAACACTACTGCTTGTGATTGTTTGACTTACACTTTAGAGCCCAGGGGGACAGAAAACGCTGGAAGATTTCTGAGCTGTACGATGATTATCACAAAACTTGAATTGCTGCGGTCGTATCTGTTGAAGAAAGGACAACGTGAGGGAAGCTCACTATTTGCATTTATGTATGAACAGAAATATTGCCTTAGCTGGTCACTCACCTGAGCCCTATCTGTACCTGGGCAGCCTCCAGCGCTGCTGCATCGTCTTCGCTATACACAACGTCCTCAGTTTCATTCGGTCTAGGGCAAACAGGCAAATACTCAAATTTAGGAAAATTACAGTTAGCTTTCAGCAATAATTAGGGTATGTGTACACAGGATGTACATACATGCTCCTAAACAGGCTGATTTAATTGCAGCATGCACTCCAAATGAGAATTTCAGCGCCTACCCAACAGCAACGCCCGTTTTGGGGACGGTCGCTGCCTGAACAGTTTGACAACTCCAGCACCGAGTCAGAAAGGCCTCAGGCGGATATCACTGAAGCAGCCCAGACTAACAGGCAAGAGAAAAAACTCACGACGTTTTCCTGTGCATACTTAGTACTTCTTTATTCCCCTGAATATAAAATTGGAAATTAAAATTTGTAATACACATCAGACCACATGTAAACGGGAGATGAGATACTGCTTTGGAGACTATTTGAGAAGCAGGAGCTCTGTAAAACAGAGAGGTTTCTGTGCACACAAGACGCATCTTTCCTCCGAGCCTGTTCTCAGCAGCATTCGAAGAGCCAAAGGGACTCAAGCCTGGCAGCTGAAGAGCAACTCCAGCGTTGAATGGAATTACAGAGAATCCATGCGGCAAAATGATTTCCAGTCATTTTCTGGGAGGTTTGAGTGAGGATGTGGTATTAATGTGTTTCATTGATTTTTAAAACTAGACTGTTGGGATCAATAAACAAGATCAAGACAGAAAATGTCAAGATAGGAAATGTGGAGAATGACAGAGACATCCCACAAGACAGAACAGCATTATTTTAAGATTCTGCATTTAGAGGTTTCCTTTTTACTATTAATTTCCTGGTTGATGGCTAATTTGATAAAGTGCATTTATTTCCTCCCCTGCCTTAAATTGCTCAATACAAAGGACTGGTCTATACAGCAGAAATCACTGTACTGTAACTTCAGGAGCACACTGACAAATTTTACATCATTCCATACTCATGAAGTGCTCATAAAGACACCTCTACTAAACATAAGCAACTCACACAGAGGCACTCAGCACCTCTTTGCTACTTCCTACTCAGTAATAATTAACAATATCCACACCTGGAGCTATCAGGGAATAACTAGAGTCTGTAAATCTTAGCTTGTACAAATATGCCAGTAGTTTCCTTTTGTACACAGGCCTAGGGGATGCAACTGTCTTCGTTCCTCTTTTCCTGAGTAACGACAGGACGATGACAAGAATTTGTTCTGTTTTCCACCTCTCCCACCACCTGCTGTCACTGGAGAGGACAGCTGAAGACTTGCTCCACAGAACATCCACAGCTTTTGGTCCAATGCCTGTTCATTTCTATCCACTGGACTTTTAACTGGAGCAGACAGTAAGTTTTGATCACAGTTGAAACAAAATGGAAAGACAACGATGGTTATTGAACCAAAATACACAGTCATGGCCACCCAGGCACGAGAAGGCTGAGTTTTTAATACCAGATGGCAGTCTATTTCAGCCTAAGAAGTTGCACTAGGTCTAACTGAAGACACGGAGCAAAGTAATATTAGGATTCAGAGTTCAGGGTGAAATACGGGTCCATGACCTAAGGTGAGACTGAATGAGCATTGTAACACTTCAGGAGAAAGCCCTTTTGCATTTGAGCTTTTTTATTGGATCTCATCTACTTTTATTACCTTTTAATTTGTGAAAGACTTGACAAGCAGAAGTAATTTTATCACAGGCCTATAAAATCCATTTACGATACCATAACGCACCTTTACCTGTCCTAATAGAAAAGCATTTAGCCTGACAACAAAGACATGCATCTACATCTTTGTAACCATCTTGCTGAAACATCTTGCTCTGAATATTCAAGAGGACAAAATCCTTGATGTCAACAACTTGCCAAAACTGATAAAGATTTTGGTTTCTCTCACAGTTTGCAATAGTCTTCTGTTACGCAGTCTAAAGTTCATTGCTCACACTGCCAGAAGACAGACAATACTATATACACTAGTACGAAGAACCCTGTAGAAGTTATGTCTTGTCAAAAAGCAACAGCAGCAAATACATTTCTTATATCCTGTACACCACAGTGAAGCATGAACAATAAACCCTAACCTGGATTATTTTCATACCAAAACTACAACTGATGATTTTCTTATCTTTCCTATATCCTCTTTATGAAAAAAGAAAATATTCAAGCAAAATGCTGCGCAATCTTAAGATGGTACCTAACCAAAACAAGAAGTAACAAGGGTCACTCTGAGTAGAGTCAAATACAGCCACACGGCAGAACCTGTATAGTTTAAATCCAGCTTTTCTCCTAGGAATACTTACAGCAAGAAGAAAAAAAACCAACATGATTAGAAGGTAGCATATTAATGCTACTCAACCAAGTTATAGAAGCACTCTAATATAAATTTATTAGCTTAAAAAAAAAATCAAACTTCATTGTTTGGCAAATGTGCCTTCCTTTCAATATGAAAGCACAAAACATTTATAAAAAAGGAAAGACCGACAAACTACCTACGCTGGCATTGTACAGCTGCTTATAGATATATTTCAATTTTTGGTGGAAAGCCTTGCATTATTTCTCAAACCTACTGTTTCATGGAAGCTTCATACACCCCGCTATCTCCAGCTACAGACTCATCGGACACCGCCGCAGATACACAAGCTGTCTTCTCCTCCAGCAGGTGACTCGCTGCTCTTCTCGGTAAGTCAACACCTACAAAAAGAAAGAAGAATGAAAATCAGTCTGAGAGATTAATAGTCAGAAAGAGAGAAGCGCATAGCTTAGAAAGTTGTCAAGTGGAAAGCGGTGACCCTTAACTGAGTATCACAGAGTGGTTTTGTTCCACATCATTAAACATTCTGAGCCTGCACTGCTGTTACCGTGTATTCCGGCTGGGGACTTTAACACGTACAACCCTTATTATGCAGGCTCCTATCATCACCCGTATCTGTTGAGCTAGCTATTACCCTTGATCATCTTCATTAGTAACCCTCGTTATCCTGATCTTTAAACCTGTATTTGCCATGTTCACATCCCGCACTGCAGTAACACTTTGGCTACATGTGAAGTGCTTGCCTACTGTTTATGACATATTCAGAAGTCAGACAGACTTCCCAGTGATGTAACGGCTAGAAATGAAAAATCCCCTCTGGTGTACCATCATCAAAAACTTTTTTTTGCTACGGTCCCTTTACTATCAGTTACTACTTAGCTTTAATCCTCGACTCGCATTCACATGCTCGCGCCGTGCAGCGAGGCAGCGGCGTTCAGGGGAAGCCACGCTCTGCGGCACAGTGCGCGGAGAGCCCGTGCAGTACTTCCATCTGCCAGGGGGTGAGGATATTGGTATGCGTTATCACCCCCACCGGAATCATGACTTTACATCTTGCTAAGTTGTTTAAAATTGAAGGCTTCAGATTAGATGATTGATTGCTGCATTTGTGCTTTTATTTATGGCAGTAAAAATGCTTTTTCCTTGATGATGAAGTGCTCTTTCCCCCCCCCCCCCACCATGTGAGGGGTGAAGGTGATGACATGATTTATTGATTACCCTTAGGAATTACCGCAGCAGCCCGAATCGACTTTGACAATGACAGAGACTGACTGTGGAAGAAACACATGATATTCCAGCTTGGTTTCTGACAGCAGGGACATGTGCGGAGGAGCAAATATCAGTATGGTTCACCTGTACAGAGAAGTCGGAGGCAGACAGAGAAGCAGGTGAGCGCTGCATCTCAAGGACCAGGGCGGATTATTACAGGAAAACGCTAGCTATGCTGTCCTCGGGTGTGTTTGTCTACCTCCAAGTTGAGATTCAGCAGTATTCGGATTTGTCGTCTTGTAAAATTGAAGTGTGTGGGCTGAAATTTTCCACGCAGGCTTCACGCCTCCAGCTGAGTGTGCTGAAACCCTTCCCACTCAGCACTGCGGCAGCTCCAGGAATGAAACTGGAGCAGAAACACGGAACCAACCCCAGGTCTGTGTCTCGCTGCTAATGTAGTGAAGCCTCACCATGAGGCCCATTTTACTGTGCAAACCAGAGGTATTGAAGCATAATTAATTAGTGTCTGGCTTTTTAAAATCTGAGTGGTTGTTTTGGCAGTCTTCATACAGATTTAAAGATAATTTGTATCATATATATGACCCTCCATGAGGAAGTATCAGTATGAAGCATCACAGGATGAATTTATATTTTAAAACCATAACTACTTACAGACTTAAAAACCACTCTGACACTATCCAGAATAACAGGTCCTCAAATAAGCTCAAAAATGTTAGACAACCACATCATGTCTTTGAAAATAATGATCCAAAGACATAAATTGAAAAAAATTAATTCTGATTCCTCATAGCCCTATGTGTTCCCAAATTCCAAACCATCTTAAATTCATTTCTCAGACTAGAGGAGCTGCAGCCAGACTGCAAAGACAGACAGACTGAAAATCTTTGTTAATTTGGCAAGGATATGCTGCTAAAATACCAGCAGGAAAATTAATTATTTCTCTACCTTTTATAATACGGCTCTAAAGCAAAATAAGTCCTATGTTCCATTATACTGAAAAAAACACAGGACAAAATGACTCCCTCCCCCTTAAATCCCCTTCTGTGTGCTTCCACTTTGCATTTCACAAGCTCAGACCATCAGGACATCAGACAGCTTTTCTCCTTTCTGCACAGCTGAACAGTGGGGACTCCCAGCCTGTACTTATACCACACATTTCTCTTCCGGAGCCACATTGCTCTGGTCAATACTGAAATTACTACAGTACTGCAGTAAGCTAATCTAATTAACCAACAGACATTTCAACAATTCCTTGAGAGACAGAGAGAGATATAAATAAAAGCAAATTATTTGTTAAAATATGTGCCTGTATCAATATGCCCAGGTACTTTTATTAAAAACTGGCAAACTCTAGGCAGAAGGGTTCAAGCCTGGCAACAAACCCAGACCATGTGCTCTCTAGAAGTAGGCTGTATTTATTCTCAGACACCCAAGCTCCTTCGCTGGCTGCTTCACCACCAACTCAGGCCCAGAAACACGGAGCTGGGAATGCTGGGTGCAGACCAGGGCTGCCAGCGCTCAGCACTCCTGGAAGTGAACACACGAACGGTTTGCGAGATACTTAAAGACAGTGACACAGAAAGACACTAGAAAAAGTCGATAAAGGTGCAGAGAAAGCACAACAGACCGTCAACCCTCACAAAAGGCGGCAAAGTCAACGCTCTAAGACTGAGGACAAGCCATCAGTTCTTGGCAGCTGGGATTTTTGAAGGTCGGCCTCTGCCAAAGGCTTTGACAATATAAGATGACTAAGTATGTCACGTGGCTTTCACTGCAGACCAGAATTGGAATTCATTCCACGTAATGCAACCACCTCCAAGTCAACGTTGACTAGCTACTAAGGATACCTTGACAACTCACAGGGTCATTCATCCCATCTTCCTTCAAGGGAAGGATGTTTTAGGATGAGATGACTCTTCCTTTTGGAAGCTGCCCACAGACTTCAGGGGGAGCCTAGACTCATTTAGGAGCTCTGTTTTAACTCGGATGGATGAAAAACTGAAAGCTACGAAATCCATGTTAAAAATGGGGAGACTCTCAGTGTAACTTACATGGCATGTGGTCATCTGTCTTTCTCAACTCACACACGAAAAATGAACTGCAGATCTTTCAGTGACGGTTACCAAAAACCAGCAGAGGGTATGTTTGCTCTGTCCCTGTACATCCTGACAATACCTAGGAACGCCATGCATCCTCCCTCTCTTCAAGATCCCGCTTCAGTTTTTTCTGTTACTTTTTCATGACAGAGTCTGAAATACTTTCCAAGATAGCTATCGAAAAATGTAGATGGAATCAGGGTGATCGTAGCTCTCTGCAGCCAAAACTGGCAGTCATGCAACGACCCTCAGAATTACTGACTGCCCACCACGGCAAAGTGTATGCTGATCGATACTCTTCGGTTTCACGAGGCACCTCCCCATTGAAAAGCAGCTGTTGGTTCAAAAATTTCATGTTACACGTACATTTGGCGTTAGACTTTTTTATTACCTGAACTTCCTTCATGTAGAGAAGGCAGCGGCTGCCTAATGCCTTCATTAAGATCTTTAGCATCCGTAGGAATCTGAGATCCTGCTCCAGCTTCAGAGTCCAGTAATATTTGGTTCTCACAGAGACTAATGCCTGCAAAATCACCCGAAATGCCACAGTCTTCAAAGTCCGCAGTGAGGTGATGCAGGGGGGAATTCTGAGCTGACCCTGAAAAGGCAGCTTCTAAAACCAAAGGGGAGCCAGGGGGGGACAAGGAGGACAGTGAGGATCTGGAAGACAGGGACGTCACAGATTTGGGAGGTTCAGTCGATCTGGAATGGTCTGCAGCTGAAGGAGAGTCACTGTAACCCAGCCTCCCATGGGAACCCACCACTTCGTTTTCATGAATGGTAGTGATAGGCCCCGAAGGAATGTAACCGCTTTTTTCTTGCAATATGAAGTCAAGTTTATACTGATAGTCCAAATCCGGTATTTGATCGCCGTGGTTGTAGTAGAGATCGGTGGAGCTGAGCGAGTTCAGCGACCCTCTGCTCGACGTGTTGAGAGATCCGCGGCTGGATGCCAGAGATCCCAGGCTGCTCCCTGAAGACACAGACAGCGTACTCGCCGAGAGGCTGCGAAGGAAGCACAGACACGTACACTGGTGTCACTGAACAAAACCAGCACAAAGCGGGACACGGAGAGATGAGACTGACTGGAGCTGTCACGATTTACAACTGAATGCTGCTCGGGGCATTCTGTACCCGTACTCGGCTCAGATCCCGGGTGCCCAACCCGCAGGCTATCAGGGCAACTTATCCAGCCTGCGGCCCGCTGCCAAAGCCCCTTTTCCGCTGGAGAACGCTGCAGTAACAGCCGCCCTCTCAGCCGCCACGTCCCCTCACAGACCTGCTCCGCTCCGGCGCGGGCGCTTGTGGGGTCAGTGGGGCAGGAGAGGGAGCCCGGGAAGGAGGTTGCGGCAGCAGAGACGCAGGAGGTTATCCCACCTCTAGGGCAACGTATGCAGCCTGCCCTCTGCCCAAGCACCCGGGGCACGTGGCAGCTAGGAGGAGACAACTCACAGCAGAACGCTTCACAGCGCACACCCTACACACACAGTAAATCCAACGACATCGGCACGGCAAAGGCCGTAACGCGCAGTCTTCTCCTGTCAACGGCAGGAGGTAGGGAGCCCTGCCAGGCCAGAGAAACGGAGCGTCACTGCCCTGGCTCTGCTGGGAAAAAGCATCAGGAAAAATAATTCAAGGCAGCCCCTTCTAAACACTTCGAAGACATTTGCTGAACAGTAACAGAGCCATCAACTTTAAAAGTTCTGCCGCTGGGCTAGAAAACGGCTTTGAACTGGATAAGGGGACTCCCAAAAGTCCAAACATACACAAGCACAAAATACTTCAGAAAATGATTTAAAAAACTCTTTACACTAAAAGAGGGCAGATTTAGACTGGATATAAGGAAGAAATTCTTTACTACGAGGGTGGTGAAACACCAGTTGCCCAGAGAGGTGGTCGATGCCCCATCCCTGGGAACATTCCAGGCCAGGTTGGACGGGGCTCTGAGCACCCTGGTCCGATTGAAGCTGTCCCTGCTCACTGCAGGGGGGTTGGACTAGATGACCTCAAAGGTCCCTTCCAACCCAAAGCGTCCAATGATTCAATGATTTACAGGCATACACGTACTCATTAAGCCTCTCCAGTTATTACACAGAATAAAAGCTACAGTTCAAACAACTCATCTAACAACTCTGAGAACCCATTTGGTCTCCTCAATAACAGGATTTTTAAGATATGACCAATTAGAGAATTTCCGATTTATTTATTTATAATGAAGCAAAATAACGTCTGCCTGTTTAATTATGGAAGCTGCGCGAAAAATCCCTTCAATCCTGTCTTGAGTGCTTACTGAAATTATAAAGGTACGCCAGGTTTGCATGGCGGCAAAGTGCTTGAAGCTACTAATTACACTTGAATTTTCTTACTTAAGTATTAAACAAATCTTGTTCAGCTTCCAGCTAAGAGGAAAACCTAAGAACGAAGTTGAGGCATCGAGGTCCACTAGGTATTTGCTGGAAATGGGTTTTACATTACACAGCACAGTCTCACCTCCGAAGCTGTGAATGCAAATACGTAGTTAACTTCGTAGTTTCTTCAAGTTTCTGTACCAACTCTTTTCTTCTCTCCTCCAATTTCAATCTGGAAAGAGAGGTACATATAAGTATAGGAAAGCATTACAAAAATAATCCGGAGGCAAAATACTTTATAGATAAGACAGAAACAAAGGGAGGATCCCTCATATTTCCATCTGGTTGCCAACTATTAAAATTCAAGAGACCGTGTTCGCTCTCAGCCCTATCGCAAAGCCCTAACCACTTCAGCAGAGTGACTGCACCTGCAGAACACCAAGCACTGTAGCAAACCTGCTGCGTGTGCAAGCAAGCAGAAGGTTGGTACACTCACAGCGCACCACGGGGAACGTGCGCCCAACAAAAGAGTAACCGATGAGCACCGGGAAAATAGCTGCAACTTCAGGAAAAGAAGACCTGTACTAAAACAGTTTAAGAAGCCATGCTGTATACAGTCTCAGAAAAAAAACACAAAAGAACACTAATACCAGTATTAGTTCTGATAATGCAAGAACTTGGGCTTGTACTGCAGGAATTTTAAAATTAAAGCAGTCCCTTTGATTCCAGAGTCTTCGTCTAGAGTCTAAGCACAGTAAATCAAAGCAGCATTCAAACGCAAGGTTCTGAGATGATGGACCATATTTACGAGTCCTTGGTAAAGATTTCTTGATCCCCAGCAGCTTTGCCATCACCTCAGAGCTGCACAGTGTTGTAATGCTTATTATCAAGGTCCACCTTTACGAAAAAGCAGATTTATTGCCTCCTGCACTGTTATCCAGCATAGCTCTAAAACCACAAATGGGGAAACTCTCCCATTCCTTTTGGCTAGCTGGTAGCAGAAAGGATTCACTAACCCTTACAGTGATTTTTTCCTTTTATAGTTCCCTTTTATCACTCCATTTACAACACCACATAAATTGCTTTCCCTCAGTGGATTCAGCTAAAACCCTTCTGTAGTTGTGGATTAGTATATTCTCCTCTAGCTCTTGCTCAGTCAACTGATACATGTCACAAGTTCTCAAGCAACTAATCTGAGAGACAAGAAATTACCTCCCATCCTTTAAAAAAAAAAGGGGAGGGGGGTTGATGTTCATTCTCAGGCCTTTCTGGCATCTCAAGGATGTATAAATTAAAATTCAAATGCAGAGAACACTTCAAAGAACAAAACCCCAAAATCAACCATCGCTTTCTTATGCAAACAGAATGAAATACTTGAGACTTCCCAGAATCCACCCTCTTTGAGTGTCAGATACCAGCAAAAAGACATTAAGTCCTCAATTCAGCAAAGCATGAAAAGCACTTGCTTACACCCATGCTTATTCAGCGAGCAAATCTGGGTTATGCAAAGGTGAATAAGTTACCCCGAGGTCAGCCAGGGTGCGAGCTTCCACTCCGCTGCCCACGCTGCGCCGGCTCCTACACCGCAATAACGTGTTCATCTGCCAGGACTGTGAAAAGCACCCACAGTATTGCATTCCTCGCTCAGGAAGACGGACACTCGGGTTTCCAAACCAAGAATTCTGCTCATCTATGAGCTCAAGCACTCCTTCCTACCATTTTACTGTTACCAATGCCTCCTGTCTACTTTTGAAGCCCCATCTGTCCGGCTTTTCCCAAGCCAGAGTGCTCTTTGCTAACTCTTTTGTGGCTTTTTAATAGTGAACTATCATTTTATCTTCAAGAAAGAGGTGCAAAAATTGCTGTATGTGTTCAACTCCTAATGACAAAAAGGAAGAAAGACAATTAAAAGCTTAGGAACTTCTCTGACTAGAGTCCTCAAAACAGGCACCTATAGCTGTTCCACTGAATTTGTACTATTAAACTACAAGGTTTGTTTGTCTTTTTTTCCTCCAAAGCACAAGCCAAAAGTTTATTTTCCTTTATTATCTTAAGTAGGCTGACAAAATGTAATTTATCCCATATAATTTAGCTCCAGAAACAAAAATTCTTTCCTGGATGTAATTTGATCTACTAGTAACACCTGCAGGCAAATTTCAGAAAGATGCTAGTGACAAGTCAAAAAACCACAAGTCAGAGGATGAAAACAACTCTTGGAAGTTCCCAGACACGTGGGAAATAACTTTACTATCTCACAAAAAATTGAGATTCAAGGAATTTTTTTTCATTCTACATCAGGACAAACAAAACCCCAAAACTTTCAAACAATGAACCTTGCTTCTCTGTAGCATGAACAGGAACTTTAACGTCCCCAAAGCCTACATAAACACCTAAGCACCCATCGTGTTCTCTATTCTGACGTGGGCCTCTCAGCCTCTCCTGCCTGCACCCCTCCATCTGAATTCACCTAGCACTCGTGGCAGGAGGGACCTGAGTGTTGGTCACACATCTTTCTCCAATTTTTCATCTTAAATTGTTAACAGTGCTGAGGGGGGCACAGAATCTTCAAAGAATACGTTAAAAGTTAAAGGCCACACACCCCACCTTTCAGCGCAGGCGTGTTTGTTTCAGACAGGCACAAGAGCAGGGGCCAGTTTTGCCGGCAACAGCACAATTAAGTAGTTAAATCGTGCATCTGCTTCAACGCCTGTGATTTTACCACGGACTAAAGCTGTAAGGGAATCTCCCTGACATGAGTGCAGAGGTAAGAAAGCAGCAAATAGTTCTCAGCAGTTCCGCAACCCAGTTATTCCTGTAGAGTTGCTGGCAGGCTTCTTAGAGCGGTCACAGTACGCCCTGTTTCTGCTTTTTTTGAATCTGATACGCTATGATTTATACCCTCCTTCTGTAAATTGATTCCAAGTGCATCTACTAGTGGGAATTTCAGCATCCTACTCCAAAATAACGCAGGGCTATGCTATAATATTTTTGTTTTGAGTCAGAGCAAGTCTTCTGTTTCTTCCCCCTTTAGAAAGAACTAAAAAAAACCCCAAAACCCAAAACCAAACCAAACCACCCTCATCACATCAAGCTCTGACACAACCCATAGCTGCTCACGCTGTTGCTTCGTTATCAGTACCTGTGAAAACACGGGAAACCTAAGGCATTCATGAAACTCCATGAAAGAAAATACGAATGCAAGAACAGTGCAGCACTTCGAAGCTGGTGTGGCTCCTCCACGGACAGCGGAGAGAAGAATCTTCCTCACCTCCAAGAAACAAAATGCTGATGGTTGACCTGATACAATTACATGTATCCTTTTCTCAGCATTTCAGGAAAAGTTTCACCATCTGAATCCTTCCCCAAAATGAAGATTTTCTTTAAGTTTATAGCAGACACACCAGAAATAATCATCAAAATAGCCTGGTGTGAAAGAATTGAAAGAATTTATGTGCTCTGAAGTCACCAAGGGAGGCAGTTTTAATATCACAGACAGTTGCAGGTAGAAATTCACTAGAATAGGAAAAAAAGCAACTTGGAAGCCACCATAAACGCTACCACAGCCAGCAGCATACGACAGGAAATCCTACAGTAACCTCAGAAAAAAATTCCACATTTTCAGGAATAAAAATCAAAAGCAGAAAATTTTCAAAAAAATAGAGGGAAAAAATTACGCTTGAACAACTACTTCTGTCACTACACATGGAAAAAACCCTGCCATTTTGTTTCTTCTTGACAGTGGGAGACAATTCTACCTGCCCTTGGTACTCCAAGATTGACCTGTGACATGCCCAGGAAAACGGCCGGGTGCAGAACCGGCACTGAACAAACCAACCCAAAACAGAAGGCTGAGAAAGCAGCTACCTATTTACCGCATGAGTCAAGATACAGCTATTACTTACAACAGCATATTATCAAAGTCTTAGATTCAAATTATTTGTTTGTGAATGTGATTTTATTCTTGACCCCTTAATTCTGCTTTTATTACGGGGAGTCAGCAAGCAACGGGTCCGTGGTACTCTGGATGCTGCTACCAGACAGGTAACTTCTCCTGTAAAAACACAGCTCCAGCAGCACATCACTCTTCTTCTACAACACGTCTGGATTATCAATAGAATGAACTTTAAACTATTCTAACGTGTACCACCAATATGTTTAAGAATCACGCCTAATACACACATATGTACGTTATAAACAAAAAATTTCCTCACTGCTCAGCTACAGTTTAGGACCCAGCTTCCAAAGCCACTAACAGGAATTTCGCCGTTCAGTGAAACTGGAACCACAGCAGGTGTTTCCTAGCAGAGGGAAGTAGGAAAGGCTTACAATGCTGATTGTAGTACTTCCGTAAGGCATACTACACTGATACACCCCACGATATTCTGTGTTTATTGCATTCTGTGTGTGCTAGAGGTGCCCATAAATTTATTTCCACTTAACAGCTGATGAGGAGTCCATTTGTGACAGTCACCTTTGATTTTCTCAGACTCTGAATCTGGCTAAAACAATTTATTGTGGGAGTTGCTTCGGCGACCAGTGAGGTAGCAGCAAGTTAGGGAAGTTTTGCAGCAATTTTACTTCTCTGAGCTTCCCTCCCCCTCACTTTTTGTTGCATTTTTGTATGTAACAAAACTCACAATGAAAGGCTTCAGATGTTGCAACAATCAAGATAATCTTTGTAACCCGAGTTCAAATAGTTTACAGCTATTATCAGAAGCGAGTGAATGATGTCCTGCCCTCCTGCTGGTATGTTGACATTCCTCAGTTATTTAACATCTGTCACAGGCATTTTCACGCTGGTAACAAACGCAGAGCAACCAATATTGCAGAGCACATACAGGGTGTTCGCATTCTCTCGCAGTACAGAAGACTTCTTTGTGTTTCTGCCCAGTGGGCTAATAACAAATTTAATTAAGATCTACACAGAACAGTTACTGAAGGAAAACAGCCCATCAAGGCATAGTTCGGGGTCCGTAATGAGTACAAAGGCGAGATCGCAGAAGGCAGCGTTTAGTATCAGCCAAAGACCACCTCTTACCTTTCAGCAAGTGCTTGACTGGGTGTGCTTCTCACCGACAGCAGTTCTTCTTCAAGCCTCTTCCTTTCTGCTTCTAGCTGCTCTAGCTCATCTTGAGTACGCTTGCGTGGTGTAATGAACTGGAGCTCCTTTAAAAGCTCTTCTTTTTCATTGATTAACATCAGTTTTTCCTTTTCCACATCCAGCGCCCCAGGCCAGGCTTCGCTATCCAGCTTAGAGAGTTCAATCTTCAAGTTGGCCATGCTAAAATAAATCACAGCAGATTTGTCTGAGCCCAGCACAGCACACAAATCCCAGGACAGTGAGAAATGGTACCACACTTTGAAAGGTATCGGGATATAACAACATTTTCTACTCAAAGCCATACTTTTAACTGGTTTTGCTTCACAAGAATGCAGACTGCTCCAAAAAAGCAAGCCGCCTATCCAGGGCGACAGCAATACGCGTACGCATTAAAAATGAGCTGCTCCAATGGCAACCTGAAGTCACAACATTAATAAAAGCTTTATCGACACCGGTCTGTCTGGTAACACAGCAGTGGGACTATGCTTCACTCGTTGAGGAGTACGATGGATTTCCCCGAAGCTGCTGGCGGCTGACCGCTCCTCAGAAGCGGCAATGGCCATGGCAGAAGAACACGCACCACAGCAAGGCGCTCAGTTCGGCGGCACGCAGGTGTGCAAATATTACAAGGCAAAAGCACTGCTCTTCCATGTGGTTAAAACAAAAGGCAACAGGACAGCGGCTACCTGAAGAGAAGGGAGATTATCAACTCAGAAGTTTGAGGCTTCTCAACTGCTGTTCCTGTTGCAGATGTCGAATCACAGAGTTAAGGCACTCGGGACTTGGTTATTCAAACATACTGCACAGACACACGCGTACAACGGGAGCAGAAATTTCACTACACTATTATCAGACTATAGCTCCGTCCTTCTCCAGAAAGGCTATTTCCAGTGTTCAGTCTCCGTAATCGTTCTGTCTACGCGCTCACCAGCACAGCTTAACAAGTGCAGGTCTTGCAATGAAGACTCACTGTCCACTGGGAAAGCCTCAAAATTCCCGTTACAGGTGCCGCGTACTTAATAAGAAGATAACTCTCGGTCACTTCCAGCCTTAGCCACACCTGAACCAGCTGCACAGCTAAAGATACGGCAGCTCTGAACTATGTAACAGCTCCGAGCCTTCTGCATCTCTTTCTCGTAGCGTGGGAAGAAGGCAGAGAAAGTGTAAGTCAAAACAGAAAGATGTTCCCATACAATCTCGGGTAAGAGGAACTGATCTGTTACTTCTATTTATTTGTAGCTGCCATAGTTAAGTACACTGAAGTTAGCTGAACAGCTGATAACAAATCTGTACAACTTCAATGTTACCAGGCCCTACCTAAGGTAATGACCCACGCCAGACTTCATCAATACACAGAGGTAATTTGGTATGTGTCATCTTTCTGTAGTTCTGACAGATTTCTGGGAAAACGTTTCTCCTCTTTCCCATTTGTTTTCTGTGATTAACAAAACTAATAATACCATGCTTATTTTGCATCTCTGGTATTAATTTTACAGTACATTAAATCATTTATTTATGGTTAAAGCTAAGAATGGTTAATGTTGAATCTAACTATCCCGTTGCTTATACTTAGAAGCTTAAGGGGAACTCCCTCCCCCCTTTCTTTTTCTGTAGGTAACACTTCCTCCTCATCTGCACCTCAGTGAAAAAATAGCAGCTTAAAAAATGAAAACAAGCCATACTCCCACCAAACCCCTGCCAGTTTGCCTAAAGGGTATTTTCACAGAAAAAAATCCAAAATAAAAAATATTATCAGCAGTGAAATTAAACGAAGCATTTCAATGTATTTTGTAGCTGTTACGTATATCATTTATATTCAACAGTCCTTTAGAGGAGCAGCGCTCAGGGGGAAAACAACCGGATAATTTCAGATGGATAATGAAACGCTGAGACTTTCATCTCCAGGTCAGTGGTTCCAGCTGACCTTGTTCTGAAAGTAGCTGCTGCTGACAGCTGTTTGATGGCTTACGGGACGAGATGGTGGTCTCCAAACAGTTCTTTTGCTCCCCCTGCTACAGAAAAGTCTCTGCTGCCATAACTGACACTCTTTTCAGCTGCCTCATCAGACAGGCAAAGGACTAAATGGATATGAAAACTGAACTGGTCTCACGCTTTTGAGGAAGTCCTTGCTCAACAGGTCAACGAGGAGTATTAGCCAGACCTTCACCACATCAGGACAGGACTGTCAGCACGCTACACCAGATCCTTCTGAACAACAATTGCAACCGAATTCAGCACGGTTGACACCAACATTCCACCTCTTCAAGACATTTTGCTGGCTAAGCGACAGAAAATACGCAACATACAAGATTATTCGGTAATTTTCAAGTAGAGTTCAATTAAGATGAACCTCTCTTTCTCTTAGTTATTTTAACACAAAACAACTAAGAATTTGCACATTTAATATTTCAGAAAAGGTGGTCAATACTTCTTAAATTATAGCGAATATTGCAACGGTCATAATAATTAGGAGGAACATAATTAAGTGCTGAACTTTATGTGCAAACTGATACGTATCTTCATTATTCCAAGATCTGTACAGTTCATTAAGTTCATCCTGTATTCACTAATAAAACCAGTATGTGCAAACTCTTTAAAGACTTCTGATTGTCTTATTTAAAACTGAAAAGAGTGTTCATTACTGGGCAGTTCTCAGACAAAACTGAATAAAGATACCATTTAAAAGCAGATAATTTAACCTTGAAGAACATTAAGGTTATATAGAACAAATACTTAGTTACGCAAAGGTAAATACATGAGCTACTGAGATTTCGACCCGCATTCTTGGCTGATTTGTGAGAAAGTGAGATCTTGTGCTGCAGTACTCCATACTCTGAACACTGTACTTTTTTTCCTTTTTCTCTGTGCCCCCTCCCCCTTTTTTTTTTAAAGGTAGAAGTGATAAACTGACCTAATACCAGGAATTTTTTTGTTCCTACAAAAGAGAGATAAAACACAATGATGGGACTTCTTGGCATCAAAAACAGAGCATGATCTGTTTCGGGATCAGTTACGCCTGAGAAAAAAATGCCACCTAGCTGCATCTAAAACACCGCCTGACAATCGATATTCTGTACATGATGATTCTGAGCCAAAAATCACATATGCTCAATACTGAGCAAACACAACAGCCTTAGCGCTCTTTGTTGAACGCACTGATCATATAGTAAAGTTGTATGATCTGTAATGAGGATATAAAGCATTACTGTTGTTACCGGCAAGGATGGTAGGTAGCTACTGCTCTGTATGAGGAGGGTATATGCTTGAAAGTAGGCAAAAAAAATGTTGGTTGCGCAGCCTCCTGCCTTTAGAACATAAAAACTAACTACGCCTTTACTTTGCACTTAGAAGCTGCAGATTTCATTTTCTAGCTTTCTAATTGACCATGCCATAGTATTCCAACTGAAATAATACTTAAATCTGAGATTAAATGGCATTTTAGGCACAGTTTTCATCTGGGGAAAAGTGCTACTTTAATTTTATTGCCTTGTTTAGTTCTTTTTGGCAAAAAAGGAACTTTTCAGATTTCTATTCCTCTTAAATTACAAAGGACCTCCATAACAAAAACTATAAGGTTGCTGGACAGCTGACAACTAATTTTGTGAAAAGTATTAGAAAATAATACAACACAATAAAGACATTATTAATGGAGAGATATCCCCCACACACCTTTTTTTTTCTAAATAGTAAATCTTCCCCCAGTATTATGCAGCAATTCTAGTGCCCCAGAAGACAATGCCACTCTAACCACAAACGTTCTGATTGCTGATGCCCATTCTTCAGTGCTGTGGCAGTTCATCAAAATGGCGCTGCCTTCCTGAGCAACCACTGCAGAACTTTCTTTGAAAGGCATTCCACATTCACCAGGGCAGCAGTTCTTGATTTCTTTTCTCCTCAGGTTAAATTCATTAAACAAAAAAACCAACCCCACAGTGATAACAAGTGTTTAAATTATCCAGAGTCCCAGGGAAAAAAAAAATAATTAAGCCCACTAAATCTGCACTGGAAGTCTGAAGCAACTCTAAAACTGAAGAGCCTTCAGTGGCATAGTAAACCGGAGTTATGATCCCACAGGAGGATATGACGGACATAAATAGCCTGGCAACTCCTTTCAGCCGAAAGCCAGCTCACTCTATTCCCCTAATCCTGCAACTGCCATTACTTTGTCGTTGTCTGCATTTTCTTTCTTAACACATTCAGCTTGGCATCAGATGTAAAACCGACTGCTCCCGGAACTCTGCCTGGATTGTGA